TCCAGACCGCAATTTGCTAGACAGCTTCCAAACCAAGCTGAGGATGCAATTCCTGCCCTGTGGAGCCATGAATGATGGGAATTATCTAACTGTTCAGCTTTAGCAAGGCTTCCAGGTCACCTGCCTGGGTTTTTATACCTGGAAGCATGAAATTGCAGCCGTGGAAAGAAAGCCACATACCAAAAGCAAAGGAGCTGGCAGCAGGACAGAGCCTGTCCAGGCTGTTTCAGGGCCTTCCTGGACACAGACAGAGCAATGCAGCAGGGCACCGGTGAGCTAAAACGCCTGGGTTCCCTTCCCGACTCGCCCGCTGCCTCGCTGCGAGCATGGAGCTAAGTCATTTTGTCTCCTTCCACCTCCGGGCTCTGACTCACACTGGCTGAGCAAACAGCGGGGATGTGGGATGCCAGCACTCCCATCTCACCGTCCCTGCCCTGGCTCTTTGTTACTGCCCCTCTGCTGACAGTCACAGCCCTGCACCAGCCAAGGCAATAAATAAAGACATGTGCCTTTGAGACACGGCTTCTCCAAACAGGCTTTAACAGAGGAAGAATTCCCTGTCATCAGCAGTTCAGGTGGAAACCTCCATCTGAGGTGCCATAGCACAAGGCAGGGTAGGATCCGCCTCAAGTTAAACAACCGGATTCTCCCAAACTTGCCCACCAGAGTCCCCAGTCCCCTGTTTTGGTGGCACCAGTATCCGATCTGCTTCCTCACCACGGCTTGTGAGTACACAGTTAAGAAACGCTTGCAGTTGGACCCGGAGGCTGCAGGCTCAGCTCCCGTGAAAGCCCCTGCCCCTTGCACCGCCTGCTCTCAGCTGTCCCAGTGCAATACCCTAGGACCCCGCTGCCTGCCCAACAGAGAGGGATGACAGAGGGTTAGAGGAGCCGGGACAAGGCTCTCCAGATTAAAGCCTGTCCCATATCACAAAGCCTGAGATGTTGCCTAGGATGTGGGGTCTTGCAAGACAGCATCAGTCCCAGGGAGCGGGAAGGGAACAAGAAAAGGGGACAGGACAAGGAACAAACCTTGTCCGTGAGGTTTCTCTGCAGATCCTGTTAGGGAAGCGATGCATCTGAGCCAGCTGAGATGTCTCATGTTAGAAGAACAGTGGAGAGGAGGCAGCAAGTCTTAGCAAGGAGATGACTGAGGACTTTGGGTGAAGCTTTGAGAGAAACAAGTCTCAGTGCCAGGGGGGATTAGGGGAGTCTCTCTGTGCAACTCTTGCATGAGGCCCAGAAAGCTTCACCCCTGGGCATCCGCATCTCCCCAGCCCACTCCCATGTCAGCATCCTCAGCATCCCAGGCCCTTCTGATCACAGCAAAGAGGATGTAACCATTAGGAGCAGCTGGGAAGGAGGACTCATCAGGAAATCAGCCTCTCTCTTTATGACTTGACTGCTACTTATTGATGAATCAGGGAAGATGTGCATTCGTGACATCCTCCCCAGTTATTTATACGCTATGTGGCACAGGATGTATCAGTGATGCTTGGGTGCTTTGCTCATGCCAAGGACGCCAGAGGTTTTGGGGTGGGAAAACTCATTCTTTTCAACGATGTTCATACAGGCCAGGCATCACGTGTCTGGGCAACGATCTGTCTTATTTTCAAACTCACCTCTGCCACCTTTGCTGGCCAACACTGCACCTCACCTGCCTCCCTTTGCAGTGGGATGGGCAAGTCAAAGCTTGCTCCTCACTGAGATCCCCTGGGGAAGCGGGTACCTTCCTTCAGCACAGGAACTCAGTCTCCTACTCGCACGGTCCATTCAGGAGTTATAAGTGAGTAAGAAGCAAGTTTACCCCAGACTTCCTCAACGCAGACACTGCAGTTCAGCCATCCAGGGGGTGAGAGCAGCTCACTGGGGTTTGCCTCTGATCTTCCACTTCAAGCTGCATCATCTGTCCTCTAAAGACACCCAGACTTGACTTAGTTGCACGTAGCGGAGGCTCCACCATGTTGTAATGTAAGCTACTTCAGGGGCTAGCTACCCTCTCCTTTCAAAATGCACGTGGATTTGTGAGGTTTTTGTAAGCCCTGGCAACTTCAGGAGGTATTGCACAGATCATGTCTCCCAGGTACGCTCCTTTTTATAGAATTATCAAAATAAATGGCTATGCTTCCCAAAGAGGCAGTCCCCAGGGCAAATCTGAAGTGTCACAGCAAAGGCTGCTGTTTGATCCCGACTCTTCAGGCAGCACAGGGACAGGGACAACTTGGATCTTGGTCTGACCCTGCCCTGTGATGTTGAACATGGTGTCTCCCCTGCTCCAACAGGAAGAATCAAGAAAATAATAAGCTTTTACATTTAAGAAAGCATCGTATTTCTTCTATTCCCAAGCCTATATGAAGGAAAAAATGTTGATTTTTGGGAAAAGTTTACTTGCTGCCAATATTCTTGACATCCTGAATGGGATTCAGGACGAAAATGTTTGCAAAACAGTCACCCGAAAGTGTCCTATTCAGCCAATTCTTTAACTAAATAACAAAATAAACTAGCTAGATGAAGTGTGATTTATTTTGATAATAAAATTATTTTGATAATAAAATTATTTTTGATAATAAGATTATTTTTTATAATAGAACAGTAGTTGGGGAAAAGTTGAAAAGTGGCTCAAAAATGAGGTAGCATCAGCTTGCTGCGTGTTTTTTGGCGAAAACTGTTTCATCAGTTTTTAACCAGCTGTGCAAGGGAGGCTGTAAAGAATCAGTGCCTCCCCTGGGAAAAACAGGCTTAGGATCGGGGTGTGCGCGCGTGCGCAGGTAACCTGCCTAGGGGCACACCAATGATTTCATCCTTTGGGGGACTGGAGGGTTCGCCTGGAGCATGTGCATGGCTCTTGTCTCATCCCAACGCTTTTCCTAGAGACGGAGCAGGGTATTTCCCGGTGGCTGCTGCTGGTGAGCTCACACCGTGGGCACTCCTTCCGAGCCAGAGCGGCAGGGCAGGTTGCTGCTCCAGCTTTGCTAGAAACCTTGGAGCTCCCGACGCTTCGCCTCACCGCGTGGAAGCAGTGCTGGTCCGTCTCAGGGGAACACAGGTAAGCCAGCCTGGGAAGCCAGCAGCCGCTGGCCACTCTGGTCGCTGCTTTCAGTTTTTCTGTTCCCTTTTTCTTCTTCTCTCTTGTGTCTCCTCTATCCCTTCATCATCTCTCAACTGATGCCTGTTCAGCTAGGGCATGGGATTTACCTTCTTGGGTCTGATTGTTTTTTTACCCTACGCAACCACTTGCACCACTGTAAAAACATAACGCAGAGCACCAGTGATCAGGAGAGAGTCACCGTGGTGTGAATGAGCACATGGAAACCCAAGATCTCGAAGAGGCAGACCTCAAACCAATCTGCCTGCCATCTCTTTTATTCTAATTCTGTAGCTGTGAACTCACTTGCTCTGGGGAACCAGCCAGCCTGGATTACACACAGGGCATCATTAACTTGCATCTGTAAAAGAGCAGTGGAGGTTTATCCACAAGTCAGTTTATCTGGTTGGAGCAGGAGGCTACAGAAGAGCTTGTTTGTATTAGTGTTATACTCCTGTGTTTTCTCCCTTTGAATTTCTTCTTGGGAAGAGAAGCAGAGGAAGCTGTGGTAGCTTCCCACCACTGCACACCTACCGTAACTGCTGAATGCGGTGGTGTTGCTCAGCTGACACCGGTGTAAACAGGGACTTGACTGTTTCTCTGCAAGAACATGATCAAGTGATGAGTGGTTTTAAGATAAACTTCCGTTCCCCAAGTTAGACTCAAAGCTGAAAGGATTTTCAAAGAAAAGCTCGCTCTGTTTTCCACCAGTGCCTCAGGAGGTCAGAGATGCTGCTGAAGTGCTTGGTGTCACCCCAGTACCTGCTCCTTCTGCAGAGCTAGAGACGCTCAGCCGGATAGGTTAGTTCAGCACTGCATCCAGGGACTTCACCGTTCAGCTCCAGGGAACTCCTGTGGCAAACACCCAGCTGCTAGGGATGGTGCTTCCAAACACCTCTAAGGTTGGCACGCATCAATCAGGTTCTAAAATAGCTCCAAAATCTCAAGGATCTGCAACAAAATCTGCCAAATAGCAAAACTGATCAGAACTTTTACTTTTTCAAATGAATAAAAGAGGGCTGAGAAATGGTGCTTACACTGAGGACAGGAAAGTCTTTAGCATGGGGAAGAAAAACATGCAAAAGATCAGATTTTTTTTAGAATCTCACTTGTAACTCCAGCTTCTGCCACTGCCAGAAGTCAGGCTGGGGGACCTGGCAGTGGAGAGCCCACTCAGGGTGTGAAGTTCTGATGCTTTTCACTGGGATACCAGAACAGGGCTCGCATCGGAGCACATTCAAAGTGAAATCACTGCCTGCAAAGAGGCACCTCCCAGTGCCTTTGCTCTGCACTGCCAGGGCTCCGGTAATACCCAGGGTCTGTGCTGGTGCTCCAGGGCTAAGCTCACTTAAGGTGAGCTCCAGCCCTCAGGTAGATGCTGAGAAATGACTAATGAGAACAGAGCCAATGAACAGTAAACCCTGTAGAGCTGTCCACTCCCAAAGGTAGCTCACAGCCTACAAAGAACAGGGAAGTCCTCTTGGCAGAAAGATCTGAATCATAAAGAAAGTGAAGAGAGGGGAGAAGACAGGGTGACAAGGACAGCGCTGAAATGTGGAAGCATCGTGCAGCAGCAACGACCCCCAATGGGAGATGTTAATGCCATGGATGGGGCTGTGGTCACCATTCCCAGGCTCCGAGTTCAAGAACATTTCCCAGGGTGATTCGCCACTCCTGCATTGCGGGAAGAAGGAAGCAAATATTCCACAATATGACGGATGCTGGGAAGAGGATGAGTCTTTCGTAGCAGGGTAAGGATGCTGTGCTTGAGCAGATGGTGCAAGGCGAGCACGCGTGTGTGCAAGAGGCAGGCAGGCAGAGTGTGCTTCTCCGCTTTCCCTTTGGGTGTGAAGCAGACTCCTTCCCCGCGTGTAAAACTAACCTGCTCCTTTCCCTTTTGCAAAGGTGGCTCAACGATGCCGAGCATATTCTCCTACCAAAGCGCCGAAGTCGACTGGTGTGAAAGTAACTTTGAGCACTCGACGATCATTGCGGAGTACTACAACACCGTGAGTGCGGGCACAGCCCGAGGGCAGGCTGGGGTGCAAAGGCAGCTGGCTCCGGGAACCCAGGAGCTGCTTTTACGAGACGAGATGGGACAACCTTGTTTTCTCTCCTCCTGCTCACTCCTTTGAACTTCCTGGTGTTGGAGGGTGCTGGTATGGGGAACATTTTCTGAGCTTCAGATAAATCATGGGACTTTTATCGCTTACAACAGCCAGTTGCTCACAGAACGAGCTGGAGTCAGGGGTACTTCTGGCACGTGTGAGGCTGAGTTCCCAGTGAGAGAACTCCAGCGGTGCTCCTTAGCCCAGATTTGTGAGATCCTGTTATACCAGTCCTGCAGCTCTCCTGCCAACTGGGGTAAGTCCCACACAAGGCTCATATACTCCAGCTAAATGTACAGGAGTGGCAAAATGAGAGACAGCACTTGCATGAACCGTGTCTGGCAGGTTGGGAATCCGGAACTCAGGACAGAGGAAAGCTGATGCACGAGCCAGTTTCACCTCCTGTGATCCTTTATAACTCAGGCTCCATCCAGCACCATTCTCTTGAATGCAGCCTCCTGGCTTAAGCGTAGCTGGACACATCCGTATCTGTCTGTAGAGGACTTGGTTGATAACCTGTCTCTGCAGCCGTGTGTCCTTCTACCTCAGTGCAATTACAGGCTAGCAGGGGTGTGAGGCATGTGGATTTACAACCTTCCAAAGGTCTTGTTTACAACTTTTAGCAATTACTGTCTAACACTAGAAGTTCTTGTTCTCATGGAAATGTCTCTTCCTCTTTTTTTAAAGCATTTCCTGCTTTTAATAAATTGCCTATAATAATGATAATTCCCCCCTTTCCCCCCGAGTCCCACAGATCCCCAGCTCTAATTGCCCAGCCGGGGTCTCCGAGGAGCGATGCTCAGGCTGTATGTAGTCACTCCTGTCTGAGACAGTTAACAAATAAAGATCTGCCAGTCCAGACCAAATCCTGCTTTCCTCTGGCACTCAGCTGAATGTGTTGGGCTGTTGCCTGTTTACTGGCACTGCATCCCTGTCAGATGGGCTCAGAGCTGCAAAGCAAGGCATAACCATCAAGGAAATACAGTAATCACTTCTACTCACATCAGGATTTCAAATGTAGCTGGAGATGCCAAAGGCCTCTGTGTTTTGGAGTGTCACTGGCAACGCTGGAGAGGGGCTGATTTCCATAAAGAGCAGAAAGTCTGAAAACTGTGTTTTAAATCAGAATTCATTCTGGGAGATAAATTTGCCTCATCTTCTAGTGTAGTACATAGGCGGCATTTTTCAGACATGTCTTCAGAGGTGAGACCCCATTTTCACAAGGATCCTGATTTGCACCCAGCCTGTCAAAGTGGCTCAGGATCCTTAACACACCAAGAAGTATCTCAGGAGCTCTCCAAACGCACTTCTGTGTCTAACTTCTCTGCAGCACACTGCTAGACACCGGTTGGTGTGGCCAGATGCATAGATATTTTTCTTAGGACCCAAAGCCCTCTAATTCCTAGAAAACATTAACTCTTCAGTGCCTAGGTCATTTTGTGGAACAGGTTTATAAATTATTTAGCTATTCCTGAAAATCTTACCCAGGTGCCTATTTCTGGAATGATGTCCCTACTAGCTACAGCCATTTCCCATGTTTCCATGCTACACCACCTTTGAGGCATCGGGTCTGTGGGGATGAATTTTCACTGGGTAGGTCTCAGATACAGCATTCCTCAAGGAGAGGGAAATTGCTCCAATGCATGTTTGCGCACAGATGCGAACTAGTGTGATACTAGGAACACAGGAGATGTAGGCCAAGCAAACCCTGCAGGATTTTTTCCAGTGATGAAACTAGCCCTTGTTCCTCTCCATATGTGAACACAGGGCACTTCTTTCCCAACAAAGAAAGTAGATTTTTTGGTCCTTGCACTGATCTCCTGCTTGCCAGGCTCGCTTTTACCAGTCCACAGAGCTCAGCAGAGTGCCTGCGCAGGCGGAGGGTACCAATTCTGCAGGTCCTGTCTTAAGATTCGATTCCCGTTTAGGGGAAGCAGCAGAGGTCCAAACTCGCCTTGACTGCTGCCTGCATCAGGGCTAGCATGTGTTCTCCTGTCCTAACAAGGGGAGACAAAAGAGTAAACCCACCTAAAAGGTGCTGCTGTCTGAACATCTGACAACAGCCCCAAAGGCCAGACCTTGTAACCAACAGCGGGCAGGAGCATCACTTACATGGGCATCACCCATCATCAGTCTGCATGAACTGGATGGCGTTGCCTGGCTCTCACCTCTTGCAGCAACACCAGGGGACTCTCTTCATGCTCTGGGCTCTCTTGCAGGATCAGGGTCCTTGTGATGTGTCCTAAAGCAGGAACTATAGAAATCAGACCATACTGAGATCCCTAGCTATCCCTGCTGGCTGGTAGCATGTTGCAGATCCAGCTGGGGCTCAGGGCACCCTCTCAGATGTGATCCTAACAGTCTGGATCTCCTCCTCTTCTCCCCTCTATCCATTTCTTCCCTGTATTCAGATTGCTTCCTCCCTGCAGCAAGCTTTATGGGCCTTATCTTGCTGGTCTGCCCTGAAATAATTATATCAATATTGACTTCAGCATCAGTTTGCCAGAGTTTTAGACTAGCTGGGAATCCAGCCAGCTCCTACCCAAGGCCCCTGCACCACTAAATCAGCAGGGCTTCCTAATCGAGCATCCTCTTCAGCATCTTCTTCCCAGCACCGCCTGGGGCTCAAGCAGGGTAGTTTTGTGCCAGCAGCATCAATGTGCTGCTGAGAAGTCCTCTGCGCCAGCTGCACTCTCTCTCAGGTCTGCTTGGGTTGGATGCTTTTTATTAGAAATAAGCACCAAGGGTATGAGCAAAGAATGTAAACAGTATTTTTAAGCACTTAGTAATACATGGTGGCTCATGATTGGATGCAGTTCAGCAACAAAGTGCCAACTATTTATAGTGACTCAGTGACCCAGAAATTTGTTGTCTTCTGGCTGTTTGTAGAAGAACAGTATTGTGCTACATGAGGGTCATCAGTCAGGGACTTGTCTTTCTGCCCTCATTTCTTTCCTGAAATGACTGACCCAGGATGGTGGTGATGACACCTGAATCCTCAGCAGTCTCTCTGGCAAAGCAGCAGAAGCTCTGACACTGCCACATATCCAGAGCTCGTGGATGCTTCATCGAGATCAGTGGAGATAAGCTCAGCTGCAGGTGCAAATTACCCAGCTACGCCCAGAGAAGCACACTCACTTTCAGAGAGTGTCAGAGCCATGGCGTGCGCCCTGGCCCTCCTCACGGGCTCAGTAACCCTGCGGCTTCGCAGATGCATCACTCTCTTGCCTGCCCAGAAAGCTGTGTGTAGGAGTACAGCAGCTCCTTGCCCAGTGCTCTGTAAACACTAGGCAAACAGCTGTTTCCTGCCCCAAAGCACCGGCGGGATGTTGTGATGTCAGGACACGCAGCCTCCTCTTCTGCTACACAGGTCTGGCTATTAGGAACTTGCTATACAGGTTGGGAGAACCTCTGAGGTATTCACTTCTCTCTTTGGCCCTGTGGGCTCTTCTGTCAGCTAAAGCTGGTTCGTTGGCCTGTAAGTGAATGAATGCACTCCAATGAGTCTTGCAGAAATCTCCTTTCACTGCAGAAAAAGCCTGTCCTGAGTAAGGACCGGAACATGCCTTGGCTGCTATTGCACTGTTGCCATGCTCACAGAGCCAGGCAGAACTCTGCAAACCAGCATCTCCTATCCCAGTCCATATCAGGGGCTTATTCTCACCCTGTCATGGATGGAGATGCAAACAGATTCTCTGCCAGTCTCTCCTTCCATCTCGGGCTGCAAAGTGCTGAGTTGCAGAAGCCCTGGGGCCTTTCCCATGATCCTGCTAATGCACCAGGATTAGAGCCATGTCACTGATCCTAGTCTCGCTTTTCTCCAAGTGAAAGAAGTAAATGCCAGTGTAGGCAGGCTTGGCTTAGGCACCTGGAGCAATAACTCACACTTGTTAGGAAGTGGGACATTGCTGAGACCTCACGCAGTGGAAGACCACAGCGCTAAGTAACTCTCACAGGTCAAACCACACCTCCGCTCCATCACCTCTCTCTTACCTCGCTGGCACCCCGGGCAGAGGGAGCTGGTGCCTCCTGGCCAGTCTGACCTAGCTAGGTACAGGTAGAAGCCATGCTGGGGGGACTCAGTGGGAGCAGAGACTCTGGGAAAACTTCCTAATGGGAGTACTGGGAGCAAAACCCTCTAACCACATTTGAGATGGAGCTTGCCACATCCTAAAGGACAGTTATAATACAGAACTTGCAAACCAGGGCTTGGATCTGGATGACTGATGAAGACCCTGTGTCCCCCACAGATGCAGTTTTGTAGTGACTCTCCCCTAAGCTCTGAGTTTCGCTGCTCTGCAAGGAATCACTCTATCTTTTCAACCCTATTGGCACCGTTCCCCTGCTTATCCCTCCCCTCTGATATCTGATCTTGCACATCTCATACTGAATTAATGAAGCGATAACAGTGCTATCGTGTAATTAATGGCACTGTTGCAATGCTCACTGCAGCAGCGATTCAGACCTCTCTATGTGCAATCTCAAACTCTTGCATTTCCTCACTTTGACGTGCTTGCTGGCACTTGCATACTGCTGCGTTTTCTGAAAGAATTTTCTCTTTTCTTGCCATTCCTGCTTGTCTTCCAAAAGCCTCTTTAACTATTTCACAGGAAAAGAAATATTTGCAACGCAGCTGTTATTTTAACACACGGTTTGGTTCCTCGATCATTTGCAAACAGTTTGACCTCAAGTGTGCAAGTGGGACCAGCACTTCTCTTTTCATGGCTGGAATGGGAACAGGCCTGGATTTGGCTCTAAGCACCTACAGAAAACCAATACACTTGGCCTGAGAACTGCTGTTAATGGGAGCATCAACTTGTTTCATGAAAGCCTTAGTGAAAGTCAAGATTGATCTCCAGTTATTAGAGGGAATAGAGACCTTACATTAAGCATGAATTGCATTTCCCTCTGGAATACGAGCGGGTGTGTTTCATATATATGACAACATCCCTGTGATTTGCCGCCCTGTTACCATAAACTTAGATCCCATGGGACATCACAAGTCAAGCGTCGATTTTGCAGTTTACCTGGTGCATGTCAGGGCTGCTGAGGGGTGAGACTCCAGCTGTGGAGGTCAGATTCCAGGCTTGGGGTCTGGGTCAGCATCTCACTGGAAGATGAAAGGAAAAGGGTTGTTGGGGTGAGATAAAAGTCACCCTGGCGGCTTGCCAAATGGCATTTTAGCAGATGGCTCTGCTTTGCTTTTCCAAAGCCCCCAAGAGCTGTTTGGCAGGTAAATCATGGCACTATGATTCCAACCTTTCATGAGCAAGCAAGATTTTCCCTGAGGAGGTTGTGCTTCCCTGTGTTATCCCTTTACTGAGTTTACAAAACCAGGTGAAAAATCAGGTGAAAAGGGCAGGGTAAGAACTCATAGAGCGTAAGGTTATTTCAAACTTCATTCCCCCATAGCTGCAGGGTGGAGCGGGCCTGATCCAGCGGACACGCCCAGGCTTTGGGCACTCGCTGCTCCTCCCCAGCTCCCACATTTTGCCCATCAGCATCTGCCATTTCCTGAAGCACTGGCACCTTCAGCCAGCCCAGGCAGCAGCAGCAGGCTGAGCCCCAGCACCATCCCATCCTCCCCAGACTAATCCAAGTCTGACAATGAAGCAATTTTGCAGAGTTGGAAATCAGGGCAGAATAATTTTGCTGCATTCATTCGCCAGGTATGTTTAAAGGAGGTTTATAACTTCATATAATTACTACTGTCTAGAATACCTCCTCCCCCAGGCCAGGTGGCTTTGCACATGACACTACAGGATGTCACCTCAGTCCTGTTGCCACCTACCAACGTCCTGCTTGTCCTGCCGCTTTCCACCGCAACAACTCCCAGTTAACAATGGCTTTCCTGACTGTGGCTTGCTGTGGTGGTCTAGCTCCTCAGGCCCACCCAGCCCCTCACTGCTGGATGAAAGGGGCAGAAGCCACCCAGGGAGTCTTTGTCAGGTCTGGGGTGACAGGAGAGAGAGACGGCTGCAAACAGAAGAACTTTGGCAGCTTGCTTGAAGACATTGGGCAGTTGAAGCTAAACCATCATCCAAAAGGGGCACACCAGTTTCTCCTGGGCTTGCTGGTCCCAAAGGTGCCTTCAGGGACAGCAGATGTCTGCAGCCATTGCTGTCACAGCAACAACAGTCCTTCCAGTTCCAGCCTCACTTCTTGAGAAACGCCTCTACCCTCTCCCTGTCCCAAGGGTAATACCTGTCTCCACGCAATGCTTTCCACTAGAGATCAGTATCCTCTTTGCACGTGGAGATACTGAGGCACGTAGTGGGATGGTACTTGCCCAAGATCATGCGATAAGCTGAATGTGCCTCTTGTTTTTCAGATCAGCAATGTAAGCTTCTTTGTCCTTTCTCCTGCCCTGCTCTACCTGAACCGGCAGTACCATCAGCGGCGTGCCTTGCCCTTGTATTTCGTTTCTGGCCTGCTCTTCTGTGTAGGTGGGTGCCAAGGTTGTGAGAAGACCAGACAGGTTGCCAGAGTACCCCACTGTTCATTCATGATAGCTTTGGAAGCTGGTTCTTATCAGCCAAAGCACAGGGGCAAGCTGGGGTGGGAAACCAAACAGAGGCATCTGTTTGAAGCCCTGCAGCTCATGGTTCCAGCTGCCTGCAGACGCACAGCTTCCAGCCCAGTAAAGCCCCGTGGTGCTGTGTGGACTGACTCGCTCAGGCCTCCACTAACACCAAGGTCCATGCCCTGCTCTTCAGGAACAGTGTGTCTTCAGGAATGGCCCCCAAGAACAATGCAAGGAATCGCTCTATCTTTCTATCACTCTGGCCTGGCCAGATGGGCTTGTGGGAGGACGGAGCTTTGCTGACACAAGCTGTTCTTGCTCCTCGCAGGTATCTTCTCCGTGTACTTTCACATGACCCTGAGCTATGTGGGGCAACTCTTGGATGAGCTCTCCATCCTCTGGACACTGGCTGCAGCATATTCCTTTTGGTACCCAAAGGTTTACTTCCCCAGGTGCATCAAGAGCAGGTATGACTCAGAGGGACACAGGGTTGCAGGCTCTGAGGGGAGGGATGGGACATTGACATTGATGCCTGTGACCACAGATTCCCCCCCAGCCCACAGCTGGAGGTCAGCGTTGAGAATACTGAGGTTTGCTTTGGCACCAGACCCTCCATCACTCAGTGATGGATGTGCTGACAGAGGCAGAGGAAGAAACCTTCCCACGCGAAAGGGTTGTGCTGGGCTCCTGTCGGCTGGAGCTGTCGGTCTTTGCGAAGCTGCAGAGGAAACTTTGCATGGACAATTTCAAAATTATTTAGGAAATTAAATGTTCCTGAGCACTGACATTCAATTATCCATGCTGCCAAACTGTTATAGCAGCCCCTGTCACACACAGAGAGCTTTCTCTGAAGGCTGATGGGGTTTCCTGTAGGACAAGCTGGTCCAAGTTAACACCCCACATTTCAAATGTTGTCTGCAGGAGGGCTGGTTGGGCTAGAGAAGCTCAGCAGAAAGGATGGGGAGACTGGGTGAGCATGGATCAGCAGAAGCAGGAGCCCAGCAGGGTTTTGGTCCCGTCATGGCAGGCTTGCTGGTGCCCTCTGAGCCAGCCCAGTTAGCAGCCTTGCGAAGGCCTGCTCCAAGTCTGCTCTTCCATGCAAAGAGGAGGTCACCAGGAGTTCACTGTGGAGACATGGTTGGGGGAGAGGGGAAGGGACTTGGGAAGGGATTTGCATGTGAAAGGCCCCTCTGAGCCCTATTGTTGTTCAGTCAGCCCAAATCTGCAAGTTTGCAGGCTCAAGCCCCTGCCTGCCACCCCTGGGACTGCTGCTGTGCAGCCCTTCCCTGTGCAAAGCTCCTGAGGCCTTTGCCTCTGGATGCTCTGGCATCACCACGAAAGTGCACAAGTTGCCTTCTGGGCTGTGGTGGACTGAGGGGCTTTTGACAAAGCACAGACGTAAACAGAGACCTCAGCCTTCCTGCCAGGACTACCGCAGAGGCTGAGGCCAGCCGTATGCAAATAGATTGGAGGTGCTGAAGAAGGGTTTCCTCTCTTGGGCAATGAGCAGACCCTCTCCCATCCTTACCCTTCCGTACTGTGAACCCTGGGGACACTGACGCTCACTCCCAACTCCCTTTAGGAAGCATTTCTTCTGGCTGAGTGGTGTCACCACTATGATCAGTACACTGATGTCCTTCATCAAACCAGCACTCAATGCCTACGCGCTCAACTGCATTGCCTTCCACCTGCTGTACCTGATGTGTCGTGAGCTGAAAAAGTAAGGAGGGGGCTGAGAGGGGTTGTCTGTAGGTCCATTGCATGCTTCTGGCAGGCTCACATGTGGCAGTGACTGTGCACAACAGTGTAGGGAGCCCAAGTTTTCACCAGCCACATGCTGGACTAACAGCTCTGCAAAGAATTGGGGCAGCCTGGGAGGGAGCCAGGAAGAGGCACAGGCAGGACTCTGGGCAGTGGGGTGTAAGAAGACCACCTGGCCCAGGTGCCACACAGAATCGGGACAATCCATGGGACAAGTGCATCTTCTCCTCCCCAGCTGCCTCCTCTGCAGCCCTTTCCCCTCTGTGGGAGTTTGGCAAACAGCGTGAGGTTGGGAGAACACACCAGGATCCAGGGAGAAAGATAGGAGTGCCTTGACATCTCCTAGCATCATCCTCACTCACAGAAAGTCAGAAACCCTCTCTACAGAGCCACACTTCTCCAGTTCTTGTGCTCTGATGAGTACTGTCCGGAAGAAACTCACTGGGTTTTGCTCTGGTGCATTTGCAGACAGGAACCAGCCTTCTTTAAAACTCACTTTCCTTCCAGCACAATACTCTGCTCTCTCTTCCTTGCTGTGTCTTCCAGGTGCAACGACAGAAGGGTTCACCGGATGGCCGTAGTGATGGTCATGTTGTGGGTAGTGGCCATCAGCAGCTGGATAAGCGACAGATGGCTCTGCGGGCTCTGGCAGGCGATCAGCTTCCCCTACTTGCACAGCTTCTGGTAAGGGCTCCAGCGTAGACGCAGGAACCCCAGCCCAAACATTTCAGGGGCTGAAGGGCCACAGCTAAGGAGAGATGGCAGCAGGGATGTGATGCTCAACCAAGGAGCAGCCACATCTCTGCGAAACCCTCTCCCCCTTTCATCTGTTACTGTTGATGCTGCTCCTCAACCTGGCCCCAGCCCAAAGCTTTCGTCCTAATCACTGCTGAATATCCCTTACCTCCTCCACACCAGCCACACGGTGTTTTGCAGGTGAAATTGTTCTAAATGTCCTTCCAGGTAAGCAGCTTGCTTTCAAAGGGTTGCATCTGCTCCCAGGAAGCTGCATGGAGTACAACACTCTTTACTTCAGTAGCCAAATTGAAATACAGTGATTTGCTTTGGCAAGTGTGGCTGTGAGTGCTGCGCACAGTGTGCATTCTCAGATTCATCCTCACAAATCACTGGGATGAGTGGGACAGATACCCAGTGCTGCTGGGCTAGACCAGACAAGGTGGAAGGGGTGGTCTGGTTTGGGGCTTAAGTGCCCTGTATCACCCCATGCCCCCTGCACAAGGAATTGCCCCGGCCCCAGCTCACAGAGCTCCTCTAGGATTTTGCCATAGGCACAAACCCTGCAGCCCTTGTGCACCACAGGATTGGGACCTTTGCCTGCCATTGCCTTACCCCTTGGCTCCAGCCTCACGGTGACAATGACAGCTGCACACTGCTACAAGGTGCAGGAGGAGGAGATGGGGTTACCCCTGTCCAATGCATGTTCTTTTCTGTTTTCTTGCCAGGCATGTGCTGATAGCCTTGTCCCTCCTCTACTGCTGCCCACTGGTCGTCTACTTTGATGTCAACTATGAGATGCCATCGCTCAAGCCAAAGATAGAATATTGGCCCAGCGACTCCTGGCCTGTTGTGGTGCCTTACATCGCCCTGGAGGAACGCAACAAGCAGTGTTAGAGCCGGTTGCCCTCAGGCATCCCTCGGGCATGGGGTGTGTGACGCACACGTGTGCATCTGCATGGGGAACACCTTGGCTGTGCGCCTGTTCCTCGGACCAGGGCGGTGTGGCTAGCGGATGGGGCAGGGAGCAGCTGAGGCCTCATGATGCCGGGCATGAAGCAGGGTGGGAGCCCACAGGTGCCTTGGAAGACTCTGCTCAGACTGGCATCCAGAGAACCGAAGATCTTCTCCCTCCGCCGATCCCCACTGAGAAGGGGAGGGAGGCGGTGCTTCTTCTGTGTCTTCTGGCGTTAGTCAAGCAGTTGCACCCCTTGCTGACAAGGGCACAGCAGAGAACACAGAAGCCAAACTGGTGACAGGGGGTTTGTTGGGGCTGCTCTAAATATTATTATTAATTTTATTTATTGATGTATGTGGTCTTGCTCAGGAGAGCTGTGCATTAAAGCTATGGACACTTATTTGCACTAGGCGCCTTTCTTCCCCCTGACTGCACCACAGCCCCTATTATCTGCCAGACTCTCCCACAGGCAGGGTGGCCAAAGCTCTCTCTGACCCAGGAGAGCTGTTTATAAGGAGAAATCCTCCTGGGTGACAGCCCAGAAGAGGCTCTGCTGGCCCACGTCCTGGGATGCTCTACCCCTTCTTCAGCCCCCAGCGGTCCTTGCTCCCCCCAAGCTCTGACAGCCTCCAATGGCCATGTGTAACTTGGAGACTCCTCTGCTTGCTGAGAGGGCTGGCTGGTGGCAGAGAGTGAGGTAAGGAGGTAGTACATTAGATAAACATGTTGGTACCTTTGCAAGAACAAGGAGAAGATATACAGTCTCAAAGACCACTGCTGTGCCGTGGGTACAAAGCGATTCTTTCCAGGTTCTCTGCACAGAGTAACAGCGAACAAGTTGATCCTGGGGCCATGGGACACGTTCCTCTTCTCCGAGCCTTGCTGTATTGCAGTGACAAGTTGAACCATGACACGGGACTGGGTCCTCGGACAGCCAGCGAGGACGCCCTGGAGAGCACCAAGAGGCTGGCAGAGCAGCTGACGTTGGCTCCCTGCAACGCAGCCAGAACAAGGTCATGTCACTCCAGGGACCACAGGCTTTCTGGGCCCCTGTGGGTAAAGCAAAAGCAGAAGCGCTCTGGGCTCAGCCTCTGGGGTGGAAGGTGCTGCCCAGCTGCCATGCAGCGCCTGTGCCGTGGCCATCCCGTGGCCGTGGCCGCTGCCGCCTCGTGGGTGCCTCTGCAATGGTCCCCAAAGCCACTAGATGGCAAATTTGGCTCATGAACCCCAAGCAATAGTTCATCTTGGGGAAAGGGATGCCTTGCGCAAAGACTGAACCCCAGGCCTGGTCCCTCTGCCCTCTCCATCCCCCAGCACCGGGATCAGAGACCTCTCTGCCAGCACGGCCACTGATGAGACACCTGCACAAGGTGCAGGACAAGCAGGACTCAGAGCCCCAGCCTTTGCATGCCCTTGCCTCACCGTGCCGGTGCCCATCTCCTCCTCTGTTCGTTTCTTTGTCTCTCCCGCATGCCATCACTCTTGCCTCTCCCCCCATCACCCCATCTCCCTTTCACTGACCCTCCCCGTTTTTCTCCCTCTTGCTCTCCCCCCTCACCTCACCCCTTCCCCAGCCCATCACATTCTTCTACAGCCTATTAATAACTTCTGGGCAATTGCACTGGGTCCCCGCTGGGCTCGGCCCCTCCGTCGGCGCAGCCTTGCGCAGCCACTGAGCGCGCCGGCAGCAAGTTCAAAAGTGCAGCGGGGCTTTCACAGCCCCTCTCCCCGTCAGGGGGTGGAGGAGGCCACTGGAAAAGAAAGGCCTGGTTGCCAGGGAGCCTGGCACAGGAAAAGGGGGTCACCTTCACCTCTGACAGGACTGCCGGAGATGGACAGGCGCCAGCAGCCCTGCGGGCCGGAGATGCTGAGAGAGCCACGAAGGGATGGAGGCTGGGGCATGGGCAAGGAGGGCTAATTGGCCGCCTCTGGCCGTGGAGCCGGTGTGATGCTTTGCAGAAAAACCCAGCAGCAAAATCCCCCGAGCGGTATGGTAATAAGGGAGGTGTCCCAGGCGCCGCTGCCTTGAGAACAATGTTGCCGCAGTTGAGTGACTGTAACAGGCCCTGATGACAGCCAGGGCCGCGTTAAAAATGTCTATTCAAGCAGATCAAGACATTGAGAGGCCTCGTGGGGATCTGAAACCCTCAGGGATTTCTGGATGAAGCCAGAAGCTGAATCCCCAGCCCTGGGAAGGTGGGGTGAAAAAAAAAAAGAAAGAGAGAAAAGAAAAGAAACCCACAAAGCAGCTTTAAAAGGACTGCAGCGCCTAAGGCAGGGCCTCCTGCTCCAAGCGGGGCTGTAGCCTGAGAGACCGAAGCAGCCCTGACACCAGCCCTGACTGTGGTCTGGGTGTCCCGGGGGCTGCACAGGGTTATCTGACGCCGGGATCGCACCTCCCGAAGGTCCCTCAGCTGCTGGGCATGCTCTGTCCCTCCTGCCAGGGAGCCACGGCTCCAGCCCGTGGGGTGCAGAGCTGACCAACACCCCATAAAAACGAGCGGAGCTGTCAAAGGGACGAGTTAGGGCACTTTCGCCTTGAGCTGAAAGGGGTCCTGCAGTGATGACCAGCACGCTGAGAAGGTAAAGCTGGGAGCGAAAGGCATCAGTGGCCCTTTCTCATCCCCCCAGGCTATGGGGAGTTCTGACAGTACCTTCTGCACCGGGACCCTTGGCCATGCAAGTGCCTCTGCAGGTGTAACCAGCCAGCTTGCTCAGCAGAGCAACACTGGGCAACAGGGCAAGAGCTGCAAACCCACGAACTCGGGGATCGGAGTTAGGACTGGTCAAAATTAAACCTTTCCTTATTTTCACCAGATGAGCCTTAACCCGGGTCATTTCCCTGATTTGGTTTTCCATGTGGCTGCCTAAACCACAAGAAAAGAGGCAAGAGGAGCAGGAAAAAAAAAAAGAGGAAGAGGATACAGGCTGCTGCTTTCAACTGATGCCAGATTAAAGAGGTTGTGAAACAACGGCACCAGTTGAGTCCATTTGGTGCAATTGCAACACAAATGAAATAACAATGTTGATAACGCACCGGTCCTGCAGTATCAAGGATTAATGCTTACCTGTTCTGCTGCACCGAATTGCCTCCTGCTGCTATGGATTTACACTGCAAGATTTGGCTTGCAGACTGGAAACTTCTCAAGGCAGAGTGATTTATCTGTAAAGGACATTGCACATTCATAGACCTGCATTAATAATGCAAAAGTAATTAATAATAGCCCAGTCTCTGCTCTTAACAATGCCAGGAGAAGAAATTGCTTCATTGGTATGTCTCTTAAGCCTTTTGCAAAAGATCTTTATTTGTTAACTGTCGCAAAGAGAAAGGAAGATAATAGTTTTGAAACACAGACCACATGTCACTAGGTCCTGGGATTTTATTGCCAGCCTGGCAATCTTTACAACTGATTTAAAGAACCCTCTGCTGGAGTCATGTTAAAACAACATCGACTCAGCTTTGATTTTTTTTAGTTTTAATTTCCTAGGTCTGCCATCAAAAGTTTGAAACCATGACCACAAAAGGCTAGGAAACCCAGGAAGGAAAGAGATGAGGTCCAAGAATTGCTACCTCAAAAAATCTTGTGCTTTCAACTCGAAGTGCTACTTCGAGCTTTGACTCAGGATTTCCAACCGAGGGGCTAGCAATTCTGTTACACCCACCTCACAACTGCTAGGAAAGCTGTTTCTTTTTTTTTTTTTTTTGCGAGGAAAGCGTTTTGTTTTTTTTTTTTTTTTTCCCCACTGTTTTACCTACATCCTTGCTATCCACTTTTCATATAAGACAAAAATAGCTCTAGGGACATAAACATATACCAGGATTTTCCAGATATTGATGGCTGTTCCGGATAGACAAAAGGTATCAGGCCCTGGTCAGCTGGAAGTCATATTTCAGTGAACACTCTGTCACTGTGTTTGCAGCAGTCAGGGTCCCGAGGTCCCCTGCCTACGTCTTTCTGTATTAACTCACACGGTGGCTGCACACATAATCAGGGCTGGTTTTGACCAGTGCTCATAGAGGAGATGTGGGTAAAAGTTGCCTCTCAATAAGGAGAGGCACAGCCATTACAGGGCCAAATAAACCAGTTGAAAAAAATTATTTTTGCTAGAAAAGATTAAATTATCTCTATCTCTTCAGTCATTTGTGTAAAACTCCATGATTTGGTTCCATTTAGTAAGACATTCTCACTGCTGTTTTCAGAAGAAAAAGAAGCAGTTCACATTTGTCTGACAAAGTGGTTTAAATAACTCCAATTCTCTAGTAATGGCTGCTATCAAAATACCTAAAATGGAAGGACTAATTTTTCTGTGCCTTCACATTACAGCTCAGAATGTGGTTTCAATTAGGATTGTTCTCCACTTTTTATTTATTCACTTTCTATGAACATTCAGTCACTTGGGTCCTGATTCATGAGCTCACTTAAGCACATTTTTTTTTTTATAAACATGTTTAAACATAAAACTGAATCATTTTGTTCTCCTGAAATGGCACACTTAGTTTCAGTGTCTCAAAAAAGGCAAAGATTTATCTCAAGTGCTGAAGTAGTCACCAAAAGCAACATTCAGTTGTGCGTCGGGTTATAAAATTCACAATCTGCAATCAATGCAGCATTGGTTTAGATAGGCCTTCCATAAGAGCCCAGCTGTCTCTGTCCACTAAAATGCTTAAGCATATGTTTAATTTTAAGAATATGAATAATTCCATTGATATCAATGGCATTAGCTTACACTTAAGAATGTATATTGCTGGGCTGGAGACAGAAATAGTGCCATGTAATGCCAATAAAGTGCAAACTGCAATATTTCTCTAAGCACATTCTGGGACCAATTTAAAAATTAATCAATGAAGAACCGTAATGTGAAAATGCAACAATTAATATATGTGAGATTTTGCTGTTTACTGTCCTTATATTGCCAAGTATTAACATCCACCAGAGCA